GTTGGTTTTTAAAGTAGGAAATTAAATTAAACGCAAATGCTGACACACCCCGATCGAGATCAGGGCATGCTGACCGTCACGTGGAAGTGACGTAACCATGTGCACAGTGCCGAAGCTAATAAAATAATAATAAAAATAATACGAATAAATAAAATCCAGCTTAACACAAGGTAATAACATACATGTGCAAGTGTAAGTGTGAAAACAAAGTTCAAAGCACGAAGACCTAATGCAGTCCGGGAGAAAACGACACTACAAAAGCACACCCGAAGGTGATCCTACACTGGTGATAGTCTGTCAGATAAGCCGGGGAAATCCTCTGGGAAGCCACCAAACGTGCTAGTCAACTAGAACCTGGAGGGGTACAAAACAAAAGCGTGAGTGGGCAAAAACAAAGCTTTTCAAAAACCATTTCATAAATAAGTTCTAACCCCTCACCGTAAAACCTGTATACTTCCCAGAAAATAGAATATACAAATATATAAATCATGCACAGAAATATGCCATGCCAAAACCTCGAAGTAAAATGCAAGTGCTCAGGTAATGCCAAATCCAATACCATGTAATTTGTCAGCCGAAGTCACCTAACGTGACCTATACGGCTGAATCTAGAGCTCAAATCTCCATCTACTAACTATACCTGCACACGAGTCGGAACCACCTAAAGTTGTCTGTACGACAGGACTGGGTGTAATATAAATACGCTCAAGTGCTACGATCACGTGAAGGCTGGGCGAATAATCGCGGGTCACCTATGAATCGGAACCACCTAAAGTGGTCTGTACGATAGGACTGTGCATCTAACTTGGATCCAAGATGAGCGTGTGGTGTGGGAGGTGAACATCACGTGAAGGACTGTGCTCTACTCTGGGCGGGAGCACTAATACCGAGGGTGCAGGTTATGAGCTCTCAATGCCTCTCATATCACTACTGAACATAAACATAAATCATACTTACCTGGCACTTACCTGTGCGTCCACAGCACCAATACACATATATATATATATATGCAACTAATAATGCGTAAGTAAATGGCAAGCAATAAACATGGCATATAAACGAATAAACGTTTCAAATCAATTTCTGGGCAAAACATGAGTATATAGGTATATACGGAAAACCAAAAGCCCACTCACTGGTATGTAGAAGGGTCGTAACCCCCTTGCCTCGAGTGACCGCGCTCGTCCTCGGGATAGGTCTCACCTATATGCGAAACAACTACAAAAACGTTAATTTTAAAGCACATAACCAACCTTATGAAATAACTTCTCATACAATGCTCAAATGGGGTGTATGAATACACCAACGTGATCTACTCAACCTCAGGAACATCCCAATATTTTTAGAAAAATTTTCCATCGTCGCACGCGCCCCCACGCGCCGGCCAAGGCACGGCCACACGTGCCTGGCACACTGACGGCGTCAGTTAACGCCGTCAGGAATATTCAGTTAACGCCGTTAGGAATATTCCGTCAGTTTTGACGGAATATTCCATCGTCTTCTCCGCGCGAGGCTCCGGTGCCGGAAAATCGGGTAATTTTCAAATCCTCCTATCTTCTTCGTTTTTCAACCAAATTTCACAAAATTGGTACCAAAATGAAGCTTACAACGAGAGGAACAAATTCATACCACTTTCAAGTGCTAAAACACACGGGATCTCACCGAGAAAACACCACCAACTCCGGCCAACCTCGAAACTCACGATCCCGACGTCCAAAACCTTCAAACGAACCACCCCGAGCCTCCTAAGGACCTCACCAAGCTTCCTACAAGCTTGAAATTCCCAAAAACACAAGAATTAACGTGTGCATGAACAGTGACAAAAATCGGGTATCCCGAGTTCGACGTGAAAACGAAGGTATCCTTACCTGAAATGGGTATGGGTGAACTTCTACGGACCTCATGAGCAAGAATATGTACTTTGTTTCTTCGATCTGTGAAGATTACAAGGGTTTTGGGGTATGTCCGTATAATGGGATAGGAAATGGGGAAGGGAAATGGCACGGGACAGGGTGCAGGGCAAGGAAAGGATGAGGGAAATGTGTGTGGTCCACAACCAGCCACACCAAGCTCAAAACAACCACACAATGTAAAAATCACACTAGGGGCAAAATCGTCCTTTCACACATGCGTTTTAAAAATTCCGGAACGGGCTGTCACAAATGCCCCTTGGGCAACTAATACAACAATTATCAAAGTGTATGGGAAGCCTTGCATTACTAGGGATAAAATCAAGCCAGTACAATTTGACGAAATAGAGTGTTCTAAAACGGTTAATTTATCATTCACGAAGTTGGCCTCCCGACAAACATGAACAAAACTAATACCCTCAAAATCATGGAAAAGTTTATGGATGTCCCCATGCAGCAAACAAATTTTCCAAGGAATTGAGCGAGCACCATTCACATAACCGATCAAAACCTTCGAGTCCCCTTCTTACAATTTTCTTGTGACCAACCCTAATTGCTTGAGAAAATCCTAGACAGAGCGCTGAAGCTTCGATTAAAAACACGTTTGTAGAACCAAGGGGTTTAGCTCCAACAATTAAAGGAGAACCTACTTGAGAATGAATAATGAAACTTTCATTTAAAACATATCCATCAAAGTTTAATTTAACAAAATCCCGGGGAGGAGGAAACCAACTAATAATCTCTAGAAAGTTATGAGAGGTTTGACGAATGTAGGTGGTGGAGAAATGAGCTTGAAATCATTCCAGAACTTCGTATCTACTATAATTACTTTAGGATAGTGCTATTTACATATCTATTTTTACCTTCTACACATCTTTATTAATTTTTTTACGTTAATCTTCAATATATTCGAAAAAACGATCGAAAATTGAAAAATGTGCGTGAGAAGTTTTTGAAAAATAAGATGATTTCTTTTCTCGATTCTCAAATTCGTCAACAGGCAATAAGCAAATAAAAATAGATTAAACAGAAGAAAGTAAGGAAAATTAATGAAAAAAGCTTAAAAACTTTGAGTTTTAACGATAAAGATAAAATAAATGGTAAAGTGAATAGTACCAAAATTGATTTTTTCGTGTAAAAATGTGATTTTTCTTTAAAGTGAACAGGATCGGAAGCTTTTCGTTAAAGTTTTCAAAAAAGTAAGGAAAGGAAAAGAAAATAAAATAAAATGTTTTGCGTCTCTTCTTTCAGTTCAACACGTCACGTAAACCTCCTCCTTCTTTGCTGCCAACCATGATACACGTCATCATCCTACTGGCCATTGGTCAGTCTGCTCAGAGTAGCTTTCTTCTCTCGACCAAATAGCCAAACATATTTTCTCAGTTTTAAAAAATTACAACAATTATAAACGCATTGGAAATAAAATCGCCGCAAATTCCGTTTGCACCCTCGGGAGTGTGTTTCACAGTAAACACATTTGGGTGCCGCTGCCGTTAGGATTACGATTTAGAAGTATTTTTATTTATTTATATGTTATTTGCTTCTAGTTCTGCTCTTGTAGGCCTCATGGGCTAAAAAAAAAAATTATGGTTATCCTGTCGTAAGATTTTAATTTAATTATGTAGAAGATAGTAAAACAATAAAAGTTAAATGACCACAATTTCCTTAAATCGTAGACTAGAGTTTGAGAGAAGGGTACTCTTATTTTAGAGAGGATTCTTGCCGGATCATCTTTATAAGGATCAAGGGATCCTCTAATCATATATGTTCATCGTATATCATACGATCAGTTTTTGTTAGGTACTATTTATATTCAATTTTAAATAAAAAATTTACAATGAATAATAATTGCATAATATAGGATGAATGGATATAATAGGAGAATCTCTAAGATCCTCACATAGGATCCGGCAAGGATACTCCTGGCTCTTATTTCCCCTGCTAGTGCCAAAAAAAGTACTGATCTGTCATTCATGTACTTCTTTTCTAGATAATATTGTATTTAAAGAGAGTTTTAACGAAAAGTTCACGGTATCGTTTACTTTAACGAAAAATCATATTTTTACACTAAAAAGTCAAACCTGGTACTATTACTACACCTTTTATTTTGTCCTTATCGTTAAAACTCAAAGTTTTCAAACTCTTTTCATTAGTTTTCCTTAATTTTAAATTATTTTAATATACATAAAGGTTTGGGAGGGTGTTGTAGTTATGGGAAGGGATAATCTCCAGATCTCTTCCACCTGAGCCAACTGAGCACAAAATCCAGGTCCTTGAAATTTGATCAAACGGCTAAAAACAAGGAGCCCTATTAAAATTATAATAACTTTAGTCGTTGAATCAAATTTCAAGAGCTCAGATTTTATGCTCAGTTTGCTCAGGTGGAAGGAATCCGGAGAGGATCCCTTTCCGTAGTTATGAAGGTTTAAAGCGTTCAACCTATACCTATAATCTACCTTCCTATCCATAAAGTTGTATCAATGAAAAATACAATAAAGAGTTTTTTAAACTTAAGTGCAGAGAACGAACACTCACATTTTGGCAACGAAGTTGTTTGAAGTTTTAACATCTCTTTCTGTAGTCGTCATCCTAATAGATAATTGAAAAGGTCCAATTAGTTGATTTTTGGGTTTCTATATATTTCTGGCTGTATTTGATTATGTAAAACGCTGAAGGTTTGAAGCCCCCAGGCATGGGGTCTCTAAAACATACATTATTAAACGAATTCTTCAAATATAATTAATTACTCTTTAGGGTTTTATTTAATTACTAAAACATATTATTTAACATTATTAAACATCTATTCTTTGTGTTTTGAACTGTTCAACGAGGGTGAATAAGATCTCATATACTACACCAAATTTCAAATAAATTTTTTTTTTACTGAATTACTGATATACATGTTTTTTATAATTAAGACACAAACTCACTTTGAACCGGAGTTTGAATCCCTTCCTCGTAAACAAGAGTACGTGATTTACAATATCGTCTAGTAAATAGACGATACTGTAAACTACATACATAGGGATGAGATGGAGACCAAAAAGAGAGCGTAACCGGAGACAAGTGCATGAGAATCACTTCAAAAAATAAGATTGAAGAACTGAAAATAAGTTTTATTTCTAGCTTTTAGAATTTAGCAAACATGTCAAAATTGTTTCTAAAGGAATTAAACTCAAGGCACATATGGACACAAATATCTGTGTTTTATGGGACAATATGGTTGGTTTTGTACACCAGAAAATATCCACCACCACCAGTATAATTGGATGCCAATGCCTTTCCAGCTGATGTTGGTTGAGAGAATGCCAGTTGAGAACGTTCGAGGACAAATCCCATGCAGAAACTTTTCCTGTGATGGAGAAATAATAAGTAAACAGCCAAATGCTAATCGGAGCAGACATCGAAAAGAAGCAAGCGATTCAGTCTTCTGGGATAATAGGACAGAAAATGATTTCCACATGATCAGAGGTTCAAAAGAATTTCATAGTTCCGAAGGACATATGATCGGTATGAATAAGAAAAGAACCTGTGTTTCTTTCAGATTCTTGGACAATTTATTATACTAAAAGCTACTTAAATTTAGCTGATGTAATTTGGCTAGCAGTTCATGATCCAAATCACGGAGTTACAATATCGTGCAATTTGATGGCAATGTGATGAAAATATAATAAAATCCACTCGAAAAGAAAATCCATAGGAGAGGATAGCAAGGACTTGAACATGAACATACCTCAGGGCATCTAATAACTGGGTGGCTATGTGTTTTCTTCTGTTAGATGGAGTGACCCAAATGGCTCTAACGCCGCAAACAGCAGCCACTGCTTCCCTTTCGCAGAAGATAGCACCATTGAGATTCTCATTCAACGTTTCGGGAACAGAAGGGGCTTTTCTCATGACTTCCCTCTGAAACCTGATATCCCCAAATTGGAGAGTAGATGATTTTGCTTCATGTGTAGTAGTACCATCAGAACTTCCATCAGTTGCACATGAAGGAACTTTGTATGCCTCTTTGAATTATCCTATCCAATCCAATTCAATCCTCTGATAAAGTATCAAATTCAAGAAAACAGATATTGTGTTCGAACCTTGTTTCTCTGCGCCAGAGGATCAGAATCTAACACCAAAACAATCCGACCTCCCTCCACAGAAGGCAAATGAACAACCCTCTCATTGCACCATCCCTGCAAAATTTGGTCAGCAATTTGAGTAAACAAGCACCCATTTCTAACAATCTCATTTTTTTATAAATGGACCTAACAAAGGAGACACAAAACCTATAACGAATTTGCACCTTGAATAAAATTCCATTGGTATAGTCCTTGTGAAATGCCCTGTGAGCCTTCTCATCGTCTTCGTCTCCGGCGGTATACTTGACCCCGCACGTGCAGATTGAAATCAGACTGTCCAAAGTCCAGATAGAACTGAGCATAGCTTCTCTTCTTGTTCTTGATCACTGTTCTTCCCAATGTGGTCGATTCCGGCTTCCCGGAATTGCCATCAGAAAAGGGTTTCTCCGGCAATTGGTTCACTGGATTTTTGTCCCTTCCACGACTTAAGTACACAAAGAAAAGATTGGAAGGGAAACAGAAGCAAATAAATATAAATTTAAACAGTCAGTAAATCAATATATTCATAAATAAACTAAATCTCAGATTTTTTGTGAGGAATATCCCAGAACTTTAAATCCAGGCTAACTCCAGTTCCTAATTGTCTTAACAGAAGCTACCCAGAAACAACTTTTAATAAAAATTAAAAATAAAAATTGAAACGTTTTTTCTCGGCATCCAAACAGCAGAAAGCCCAGAACAAAAAACAAATACCTTTGCAGGTTTGGACCTCTTCGCTTGAAGGTGTTACAGTACTGGTGCTGCGTATTCTCCCAGACGGTCAATTCGTCGTCGTTTTCGTTGGAAAGAAGCGGAGGTGCGGCTGCTGGGTTGGGTGAAGAGGAAGAAGAAGAGGAGGAGGGTTTGAAGAAGGCACTGATCTTTGATTGCATTGCATGAATTCGTCGGAGTTGATTTGAATTGGATCTGATTTCATTGCGCTTACCTCATCATTGACTTTGATTTTGGCACCAAGAAATTGGGGAAATTGTGGGGTTGAGTCAATTTTCCCGCCTAATTTATCTCCTTGGGCCTTCTGTTCCTTTTGAACTAACCCTAGTTATGTTTTATTGAATTTGATCACTTTTTATTTTGTTACTTTTTTATATGTATTTAATACAATCATCATCTCAACGGTCAGATATGATTTCCCAATTTACATATATTCGTATATATTACATATGACCGTTAGATGACTATTCTATTAAATACATGTAAGTATTGTTGTCAATCACTTAATTAATTAGATGAATAATGAGCACAAATTTCAGAGTTAATGAAAACTAAAGAGTTTTAAAGTGTTAAACATTTAACAAGCCAGTTTAGGGTCTCGGCATCTTTGTAATCCTAGCCAAAGGTTGCAAGCTTCCCTTGGTTCCACCTTGAAACACAAATCATAAAGTCTGACATAATAACAAGCAATTAAACCCATAAGACGTAAGAAAACTGACTAGGAGGATCTTTTAGAGTAGTGCACCATCGATTGACCCTTGATCTTCTAAGAATGATTCAGAAGAGAGTTAGAGTGAGATTATGCTTGTCGGGGCACAAAAGATGTGAACTATGAGAAGTTCAGTTGATTAACCATATGTGAATCATCTTCTTTTCTGATTTTTGAGATAGTTATACAGGCCCTTTATGCAAAAGGATTTCTATTTTTTGAAAAAAAATGGGGGTTAGGTGTGAGGCTCACTCCATATCGAAATTCAACGATCCAAACATCTATTTTGTAAGTCTTGATCCATAGATCATTCTTGCAAAAATTCAATTCAATCAAAAACCATTTGCCTATTCAATTATCAGGATCAAATTTCATTGTTTCTTATATAACAAAATATTCATTCATTTCTTTGAATCCAGTTAGATGTCTTAAATATTTCCGATTTGGCTAATATTTTGCATGAATGATCCATAAGGTACAACTTGAAAAATAAATGATTTGAATCGTTAAAGTTTGATGTGGTATGGACTCCACAACTAACCTCTATTTTTATAAATAAATAGGGATCCCTTCCCTTAATGACTTCCTTTATAAATCATAAATATATGAAGAAAATATAAATCTTTCGAGGGCATTTGGTTTATCATCTGCACCAATCTTGTTTTGTTTTTCTTCTACTTTTCATTTTTGTGTGTTCTTGGAATATTTTGAACTAATTTGTTATTTCGGAGAATTTAGTATGTTTTTAGTTGTAAATAACAGGATTAACAAAAATAATCATCTTGTTAATTACTAGGTTAAAGATAAGGAGTAAAAGTACAAAGAAAAACTATTCCTAAATCACCATCAATCTGTTTCAATCTTTCTACAACAAAATTGGACACCCAACATAGCCAGATACATGATGGAGACACTACTTTAGCTTCATACCCCCAAACCCGAAAAATATGCTACATGTTTCGAGACTCTTTTCTTTTGCTTTTGATTAGTTACACTCGTTGAAAACCATGAGGTAGACACGACGGCCACGGGAGATGTGCATTCAGTCCGGGCCTTCGAGTACCTAAGCTGAACCAAGTCAAGGATTGACGACCAACATCAATCTAGAAGCCGTACTCTAGCTACTGGATCTGGACCGTCTGTTATCCTTAAACTCCTTGTACTTCCACCATAGTTGCGTATTCCTGCAACAACGGAATCAGACGCAGCGGGCACTTATAGCTGTCCGGAAAACAAGTAGTTAAACTGTTTATCTAAAATTGGTCATTTGCTAATCGTTATCCCAAATGTCTTCCAAGCACTGTTCTAAAAATCCCTACCTAGCGCTGCGTAGGCGCCGGCTAGGCGCTAGGCGACTGGTCACCATCCCGATTAATGTCTAGGTGTTTGAAAATTAAGAAAGGACGCCCAGACGAGCTGAGGTGCCCGCCTAGACCTGCCCAGGTTGCGACTCACCTAGACAGAAAATAGATAACTTTCAATTTGCATTTAATTTTTTTCAATAAATTGTAAGAGACCTGTTGAATACTTAAATGAGCACACAATATATGTTTGTTCCTCATGTTTTCATTATGTTCCAATACTTCATAATACATATGTCATTCTATTTCGTAGTTTATGATGAAATTATATATATTTTAAGTATAAACATACCCTTATTTACACAAAATATAATGAATTTACTTAAATCCGCCTAGTCGTCCACCTAGACCCCACCTAGCCGACTAGGTGCGCTAGGCCCCAGACCGCTGCCCGACCAGCGCCTAGCGTCTTTTAGAACCTTGCTTCCAAGTGTGAATTTAAAGCTACAAGGGCTAAAGCACATTCCAGAGCCATATACTCTTGTCTCCCTTCTCCCACTGGATTGTGTACACATGAAATATCAACTTCTGAATAGTCCCACACACTTTCATCTCTTCATTTATGTATTTGAGAGAGAGAGAGAGAGAGAGAGAGAGAAGAGGGGGGGGGGGGGTGGGGGTGGGGTGTGATGGTGGCTTAAAAAGGAAGCGGATTATTAGGACCCTACACATAAATGAATTCTAAAGATGCTTATGAAGAAGACCCACAACGCAGGTTACCTCAGGTTAACAACGTTCTTCTAGACTGACTGCATCTCACTGTGCAGTGTATTTGTTACATTGTGTAGTCTACCATGTGCACATTGCACCTTATGCACCTTATGCTTTTCTTCAATCGTCATGCTGATTTCCTCTGACGACTGCACAAATAAAGTAGAACAAAATTAAAGATCGCCATTTTTTTCCCCCAAAAAAAAAAAAAAAAAACAAAAAAAAAAAAAACAAAGATCCCAACCCAAAGCGCACATGTAAGAATTGAGTGCGTGGAAAAAAACCAAATCAAACCAACGAAAGAATTACACCTGGGACAAAAACTTCCAGTTGTAAAGTAGTTACATATGGAGTGACAGATCAATTAGAATATCAAAGACATTTCAATCCATAACGCTCTTCAAATTACAAATTATATATTTTTGAACATTGCCCCATATATCACTACGTATATCAATCCTTTCATCCACTGCATGCAGTACATACCATATGTAACATGTACATGTTGACTAGACATTGCACTGCAGTTACTCTCTTTTTAAACATTTATAATTTATAATAATTGGAATTATCACGGGAATGGATCAAATGATCAAATTCAAAAGAGGACGAGCTTCAGGTATGCTGTAAGGGGAAAAAAACAAATCAAGATTCTCTGAATATGCAGGGTTATGCCTGAGGGTGCAATGAAAACACCTGTAATAACCTGATGCCTTCCATGATATAGTCAATCTCTGCCTTGAACGAAGATATGATTTGACAGATTTTGTCATCTATATGCATCAATTGAAGCAGGAAAACGACTGCATCTACCATACTTGAAATGTCAGTTGCGTAGTGGGTAAGATCACCAGTTACATGCAGCAAACTACTTTCAGTTATCCATGACCCCAACGTATTCAATACAAGATTCAGAAGTTCGTGACTTTTATCAAACAAGACAAAGCAAGGGATGAGATAATAACGACATGAACTTGAAGAAATGGAAACGGTGGTCTTCTTGTCATCTTCAACAATGCACTGCATCAGAAGGCAGAAACTTGAGAAACGGTAAGACTGAAACAAGGCCGAAGGACCTTCATTGTTTGAAATAGAATACTATGCACTAGAGCGTTATGCAACAATTTAAAAGTTCACGAAGAGGGGGCACAAAATGGAAAACAATACCACACGTCTACAAACATATAGAAAGCATTACAGCAAGATATCTGCAAAATGTGCCCTATATTGATAATTATTGAAAAGACATATATAGACATCCCTTCCAAAACCCCATCGGCCAGACCAGCAGTAGTATGAGATTGCAAACAAAATTATATTTTGTTGGCTTTTTATTAGAGGACATGATATTTAATGATTCCAGTCCATCGATTCTCGTGTCACAATGTACAACCATGGAAGTATGACATGGTAACTATCAACTTACCACACAAAGATACATTTATACTTCATAGAGGTTCCTATTGGAAAACACAACAATTTAAGATGAACCTGTAAAGCAAAATGTCTTTGTGGATGTCTTTTCTCTTTGCCAAGGATAATGAGTCGATTATTATGCGTGCATGAATTACTCTCTCTCTTTGTTAGAAAGATATTAAACGTGAGGCTAGCCTAACCCTAATCCATTATCCTCATTTTGGTTACATTTGCAGACAGCGTACCGAGGCCAGTCTAATCCTAACCCAATTATCCCACCCTGGACAACCATGTGCATGATATTAATGCTGCCTTGCACCTTCATTAATACTAAAAATCTAATTAATAAAGGAAACATAAAGAAAATCCTGAGTAACTAGTGAAAAAAAAAAAAAAACAAAGAAACCAAATCCTTGGGGGACAAGGAAAGATAAGGTTATCCAAAACTAAAACTTTACTAAAAATCTTAAAACTCAAGCCTCTTTCTTTGAAATGTAATCAAGCCACTAACAAATATGCAACACTGACTTGTTACTTTTTCCTACTTCCAGATATTAATTATTCTTGAATGCATGAGCATTATTCTTTCTTATTTTGTAGCACTCTCGTTTCTTTGATTTTCTCCACTTTGATTGACCCCTATCTTGTCCTACATCAATAACATATATCAAATCTGAGCATCCTGTGAAAAAACTTATTTTCATGGGAAAGACAAATTTACATATGAGCAGCAGAGAATCACAGATTCAATAAATATTGAATTTCGGAAACCAGAAACACTGGAATCCTCTCAGTGGAAAATATTCCAAACTAAGTTAGAAGACACAAGCAAGTAAAAAATGGTGTTTGGGTGGTTAAGGCAGATGCTCTCCGAACAAGAAATGAAGGTTACCTGCACAACGTCAATCAGATACCGTGGAAGGATATTGCCTAGGCTTATAAAAGCTCTTTGGGAAATTATCGTGGTTTTAGAGTCCAGTGTAATAAGCGTCCTAAGCATAGCACATACATTGTCTAGAGGAGGATTTTGAGACTGAAATATGTACAAAAATCAGAATCAGGAAAAATAGATAAACTGTAACTTTCAGAAAGAAAACGCAGGAACACAGTAAGTTGACAAAGTTAGGAAGATGAAGTTATAAAATAATAAGTTAAGAAGATATTGATGTAAAGAAAACTATAAAAACACAATAAGATGAAGTTATCTACTCAACTCACCATCTGATCGAGTATAATTTTCTCTAGCATCTGCAAAACAAGAGTATTATCACCCATCTGTGACAGGCATGAGCAGACAATTCGGCTGAGTGACTTAAAAGTCCCTCGATTTGAGATATTCACATCACTCTCTCTAACAGGAACGATATTTTCTGCCATGATGAAGCCATTTTAGGTTTGGAACCCAAGAAATTGCAATAAAAATTATGCATATAAGTAATAAATTGGTTCTCTAGTAATACTAATATGAAGGCATCGGATCTTTTGGCAGCAAAAATAATGAATAGCTATAAATAGTCTAGAGCAAGAACTTTCTATCCCAAAATCTCAGAGCAAGATAATTTTTGTTCTGAAGCAGCCTTTTAAAACGTGCTGACAAAGTCTTACACTTGCAATTTAGTTACCTTATGATGATAAAGCATGAAAAACGATAAATCATTTGAAAGTCATCATATTAGTAGAAACTAGAAAATTTGAAAGTCATCATAAGATGTCAACCGGTACAAATAGAAATTACACATACTAATACAAACCATGAAGAGGAGAAGAAATTCTGTCAGACGTACCTGGGAAAACTCTGAAACGGGAGAGCAAAGCGATCAAGAAACTAATGTGATCAACAATCTGAATATGCCCAGATTTATATGCTGAATTCAGGACCTCTATGATTCGAAATAATACATATTGCTCCAGATCAGGACCTGCAATGAACAGGAACAAGATAGAAATGTCACTTAAACAATCCCAATTTGCAAATAACTCATCATACTTCAACAATGTTCACACATCACTGGAAAGCAGAAGAGAGAACATTCATCATTACTTCATATTGTTACCATATAACATCAATCAGAACAGAATCACCCTTTGATGTTTAATGGCACGTCTAACCCCCTGTATATTTGGATTTAATCACTTAACAAATGACAGTTACATTAAGACATGAATGGCAAGCATCTATGTTCCAGTTGAAGGACAATTACTATCATTCAGCCACAAAATGATGCAACAAAATGGTTTCAACATCAGATTTTAAAATGACATACTCTTTCTAATGAAGAAACTGATGAGGATAGGATTTTTTTCCTGATTCTTGTAGTAAAAGATAACTCTACCAACAAAACTACTGTGCACAAGGAACATATCTGGTACCCATGTGACTTTAACCCAGATTACTTTTGGAATCCCAAGGTTCCTTTATAATTGTTATAACAGAAACAAGAATAGCTTGCATATTAATGGCACGCATGAGACATTAAAAAAGTCAAAATAATAACTATAGGGAACTTTGTACATCATGCCAAACCTAAGCTGTCAAATCCATACAGAATCTAACCAAGGTAGAAATGAATAACTTACATAGGCAACAGTAAGCTATTGACTTCAGCAAAGGTGGACCCAAATTAGAGATATAACAGAGGCAGGAAAGAGAGTTCTTGAGAATCTCTGGGAAGCCTTAAAAAGGGACCATATAATACATTTCCTGCAAGAAAAAGAGGCGGAATCATAAGAAACCAAGTTGTCTGCTGATGGATGATTAATCCACAAAGAAGAATACTAGTGTCTATTGAATGGGCTCTTACCATCATCTTGACTTATGCCAAAAAATTCTTGCAGTGACAATTCCATGTTGTCATATTCCCATGCAAAGGAAGAGTTCACTAAAGCACATTGTCCCAGGCGAAGTAGAAGGTGCAGCACAACCTGAAGAAACATGCAATATAAGCCAGAACTAATGGGGTGAAAAAGCATAGGTGATGATAAAGACTGACTATGCAGAAAAACAAAGACAATAAACAATGACAATAATATTGAATAACGTCCTGACACAGTGATACAAGATGCAAAACCTACTGTCTAAATTCTTCTGTGTCAATACTACTGTCTATCTTACAAGGTTAAAAAAATGTTACTTGGGAATAGTATGGGTTTTTATCATCCAGCAGAATAAGCAACACAGGAAGCTCTCTTATCCACGTAATCTGAAAGTGTAATATCTCGGGAATACTCAGATCCAGGTACAGCATGTCTTGTCTCTATGATGTGTAGAAAATATATCAAAATTCAATTTGAGAGAGAGAGAGAGAGAGAGAGAGAGAGGAGTCTGATTTCTTACTACCACAAGGATACTAAAAGGAAAGAAAAAACTTGGAGAAATTGCAAGCAGGAGGTATAGAATCAAGCTTACAGGAACTAGCAGCTCCTCCAGTACGGAAATACAAGCCAATTTTAAAGGGGATACAGGATTGCAGTCCTTGAAAGCCTCACTAAAAGCCTGCATTTAATGATATTTAGGTAACACCATTTCCAGAAGTTAAAAGACATAAATCATTTAATACCCCACTACAATGGTTTGTGTAAATGGGGAACCTCTAATTGTTTTAGAACCAAATCTAGAGTTACACAACCATTGAAGTACTTAAAGAAAAGAGTAAAGACAATCTTATAAGGAAAAAGGAATTCAGTTGACATAACTCTGCTGATGACAAACTCTTGGAATGTACAATAGTTTTAAGCACAGCTCATACCTAAAGAAGGCGAGACTTCCAGGCAACTGCCACTTGAGAAACAAGTTTTGGAACAAATGGAAGAAGTGATCATCTGTCTAGTTTTACAACTTGTTTTGTTATTTCAATTTTCGTCAAAACAAAATCCCCCTTTACTTTCTTGTTCTATAGTGTTTAGAATCTGTTTAGTTTGTATTTTAAAGTGTTTTGAATCAACCTATAATCTTAAATTCGTCCAAATTTGTGTTTAAGGTCAGAAACTGTCTAGTTAGTGTTTTTAGGCAGTTTTGAGTCTTTTGAACCTGTTTTGAGTCCTTTGAGTCTTTGTGAACGTTTTTAACTTTGTTTTTATGTTTTTGAGTTAGTTTAGAGGTTTTAGCAAGCCCTCCTAATCCCTGGTCCAAGAACGATCCCTACTTGCATCCTTACTACAATTTGACAACAAGAGGGTTAATTTGTGTGCTTAACTATTTGCGCATCAAATTTTGACAAGTGCGTACAAAAAAAAAAAAATGGTGCTAGAAGGAGGGTGAATGCACGGCAAAGGATGGGAAAAAGGGATGGTGACTGAATGATGAAGAGTGCATGTGGCTTAATGATTAAAGAGTGAATGAATGGGAGAGCATGTGGCTGAATGATGAAGTGGGAAAGGTGTGGAAGATGGCTGGAATTGGTGGTGATGGAGGGGGAAGGCTACGGCAATGGTGTTAGAGTGGGCTAGGCCTTTTTTTTTGTGTCCTAAAGTGCATACAAGGCCTTCAATTTCGTCCAACACTTTGGTTCCAAGCATAAGCTATCCATCCTTAGCCCAAAAGTGCTCCAAAAGGCTCCAAAATGCACTTCTTTGCTCCTTTAGCCCTTAGAACCTGAAAACATACGAAAATAACTTAAAAGACTTAAAGAACTAAGAAATAACAACGTAAATGCACAAGAACAAGCCAACTAAGTTGCCTAAATATGCTCCTATCAAATTCCCCCACACTTAGCTTTTGCTAGTCCTCGAGCAAAACAAAACAACAAAAGAACACGAAACTAGACAAAACGAACAAAACACAACCTACACCTTCCAACATTTGCCTCAGGGATTTCCAATGCACATGACATGTTAAAAATCATCATTCCCACAGATTTTAGTCATCTTCACACTTAAGTACATTCTTAATCATAGTCACCACATACTAGTTCACAATTAAGCATTTAAAACCATGTTTTGAATGTAGTAACATGCCTTAGAGAATTTGCTTAATTCCTTACAAGATATGCACTCAATTTTCACTCCAATTTTCTGACTACACACCTTAATCTAGTTATATGTGAGAAGATTGATGTAAACATGAAAACGAACACTCACATATATGTATCACAAAGAAAGCAATTTTTGGAGTTAATAAGTATGTTTAGATATGATCTCATGAATGGAATGCTACTACTTAGATGCGAGAACCAGTGACACCATATGCTCATACCAAGTTCAAACTCCACAAATTGAAACACATAACACTCAAGATTGAAGTCACGGGTTGTAATGGGGCTTGGGGTGTTTGGCTAACAAAGAAGTGATATGGAAAACAAAGGTTCTTAAAGAAATAGTGAGCAAAGCATTTGAATCAACTTAGAATTCACTTTTGAATGCAAACTCAACTTTTGAACAAAAAGGGATAATTTAGACAATTTAGGGCCAGATTTGGTGTTTTGGACCCTTTCTTCAACATTCAACACTTAATCACTCATTCTTTCATCTTTTCAAGCTCTTTTTCCTTTCTTTCTTTCTTTTCTTTTCTGTTTTTCTTTTTCATACGTTTTTCACACTTTTTCTTTTCTTTTCTTTTGAATCTCAAAACATACATATAAACTTAAGAACAAACACTCATTCCCCCACACTCATTTCTTGCATAATGTAACTCAAAAGGAATTCATTTAAGTCATGCTCACTATCTTTTAAGAACAAGGGTGTGGACTGTCCTAAACTAAGTTAGGTGAGGATAATGTGGGTTAACAAAGAATAAAGGCTAAACAAGGCTCAACGGGGTTAAACTTAAACACAAAATGAGTGAAGGGCACATGGCTGTTTGGCTTTGATGGTGGTCACTACACAACTTCATCTTGAATATGTGTTATGCAAATCAATGACATGCTTTGAATGAAATGGGCAAAAGTTCTAGCATTTGGAACTAAATGATGAAACGCCTTCTAAGTAGTAACCAAGCAAAGAATAATGAGATCATGCAACGACTTTAGAAAACAATGATGCACAGATTATTACTCTCCAAATAAACGTTTAGGCTTGAGTCTCACCGGGATGTAGCGTTAGTTTGAGTTCATTCATTCAAGCATGTTACAAAAACTAATTTTTTTTTCTTTGTGATTACATGTGAATTCGTAAACTATAACTACAAACAAGCATAAACCAAAGAGTATATCAAACGTCCATCCATGTTTGTAACTTTCTTTAACCATCATGCAATTAAAAACCAAATCCTCATCATTGTATTGGAAGGTGACCTACGACACAAACAAACACACAAAAACAACTCTTTTTGGGTTTTTCAAAACAATTTTTCAAATTTTATGGTATTTTCGGATTTTTAAGTCAACACACTCTAAAACACTCTAAAATAGCTTAAAAACACTTTAAAACAGCAAGGAACAACATTGGAAGTTATGGGTGATAAAATCCCACGAATTTGCATCAACATACTTAGTTACCCCCCCCCCCCCACACTTCAATCAAACATTGTCCTCAATGTTTTAAGCTTAAAACCACACCAAACAAAAGTAAACACATAAACAGCAACTAAACATACTAAACATGGCAGAATGTAAATAACAAAGAGAAGAGTTTAGGAACGCAAATCTGGTTATGGAGTGTAAATTCCATCTTCTCCTTGGTGATTGCATTGGCGGTTTCAAAATTTAGACACATGGCAGGCAAGCACGAGGTGGAGGTGATGACCTGTTTCTTTGTTCAATCTTTCCAATTTGTATTGAAAAGGGTTAGAGGATGACTCAGCATATGCAGTTGTTGCGTTTGCTGACGATCCACAAAATTGATGTTTCATTGTCACTCGTCTTAGCTGTTCTCCAAGGTAAAAACATGTCAAGGAGAAGATGAAGTTATTTACATCAATATCTTCTTAATTTCTTATTGGCGCAGGGGCAAGAAAAACAAACAAAGGACATGCAAAATTACGCCAATGAAGTGCAAAATCAAGCTCGAGAGGTGATTGAGTTGAAGAGACAAGTGGGACAAATGGCTGAATTCATGGGGCAATTTAGTAAAGAACAAGGTAAGTTACCAAGTTCAACACAAGTAAATCCGAAAGGTGGATTCGAATCTACAAAAGCCATAGTGTTGCGAAGCAGAAAAGAAGTTGGGGCAGATTCTTCATCAAAAACAGGTCACAAAGAGGAGGAAAAACTGCATTTTGAAGAGGTGGAAGCAACCAAACCCACGGCAAGGGTGGAACTCCCTTTGCCGCAAGTTTCTAGTGACACTAAACCATCCAATAAAGGTAAAAATGTGTTAAGTTCAGTTCCTACTAATGTTTTTCCTTCGAATGTGCCTTTTCCTAGTAGGTTCATGCAAACAAAGAAAGAGGAAGCCGAAAAGGACATTCTTGAGACGTTTCGGAAAGTTCAAGTCAATATCCCTCTTTTGGATGCAATCAAGCAAGTCCCGAGGTACGCCAAGTTCTTGAAGGAACTTTGCACTAATAAGAGGAAGATTTCGACCAAGGAGGTTGTAAAAGTGGGTGAAAACGTCTCAGCCATCTTGCAAAGAAAGCTGCCCCCTAAATGCAAGGATCCGGGTAGTTTTACAATTCCATGTGTCATTGGTAATACTTGTTTTGAATCTGCCATGTTAGATTTAGGTGCATCAATAAACGTCATGCCATATTCAATTTATGCATCTATGAATCTAGGAGCATTGAAAAATGATGGTGTTATTATATAATTGGCCGATAGATCTAACGCCTATCCAAAGGGAGTTTTGGAAGATGTTTTAGTGCAGGTCAATCATTTAATCTTTTCGGCGGATTTCTATGTGCTTGAAATGGATGAATCAGACCATGCTCCTTCATTGCCCATCCTCCTTGGAAGGCCATTCATGAAAACTGCTCGTACGAAGATTGACGTATATAATGGCAATTTGACAATGGAATTTGATGGGGAAGTTATTAAGTTCAATCTTTCTGATTCTATGAAGTACCCTAGTGAGAATCATTCGTGTTTTGCTATTGATATAATTGACTCTTTGGCGCAGGACCATTTGGACAATTTGAAGGACGATGCACTTGAATTGGTTATTGCACAAGGAAGGGACATGCAAACCATCTAAATAACCACCAAGGAACCCCACGGCATGCATGATGAGTCCTTGGCCGTGCCCCCTAGGGAAGATATGATTGAGATGGTGGCTGCCCTCGAGTCATTGCCATCACATTCAGGTAAGTTTTTGGACCTTATTTTAAGTTCAGTTTCGGCTAATAAAATGCTTCCCTCAGTTGTGCAGCCACCTACACTTGAACTTAAGCCGTTGCCTAGTCACTTGAAGTACGTGTTCTTGGGAGAGGATGAGACATTGCCCGTCATCATTTCATCCTCACTCACGGCACAAGAGGAGATCAAATTAGTGCGAGTGCTTAAAGAGTACAAAACGGCAATTGGATGGACTTTGGCCGACATAAAGGGAATCAGCCCTACTATGTGTATGCATCGCATACTTCTAGAGGAGGGGTCCATAACATCTCGAGAGGCTCAACGCCGTCTCAACCCTCCAATGATGGAAGTAGTAAAGAAAGAGGAAATCAAATTACTTGATTGTGGAGTGATTTATCCTATTTCTGATAGCAGGTGGGTTTCGCCCGTGCAATGCGTTCCAAAGAAATCCGGAATGACTGTGGTTGAAAATGCCGAGAATGAGCTTGTTCCTACGCGCATTCAAACTGGTTGGAGGGTGTGTATCGATTATAGGAAGCTAAACGCCACCACAAGGAAGGACCACTTCCCATTGCCGTTCATTGATCAAATGCTCGAAAGGTTAGCGGGTTATGCTTTCTATTGTTTTCTTGATGGTTACTCTGGTTATAATCAAATTGTCATAGCACCCGAGGACCAAGAAAAAATCACTTTCACATGCCCTTTTGGTACATTTGCATATCGTCGCATGCCTTTTGGTTTATGTAATGCACCTGCTACATTTCAAAGATGCATGATGAGTATATTTTCTGATTATGTTGAGAAAATCATTGAAGTTTTTATGGATGATTTCAGTGTCTTTGGTGATTGTTTTGATGGTTGCTTGCATAATCTGAGTTTGATTCTAAAACGTTGTGTTGAAACTAACCTTGTTCTTAATTGGGAAAAGTGTCATTTCATGGTTAAACAAGGCATAGTTTTAGGTCATATCATTTCTGAAAATGGCATTGAAGTAGACAAATCCAAAATAGATCTTGTACGTCACTTACCCTCTCGAACTTCGGTTAGAGAGGTTCGTTCTTTTCTTGGCCATGCAGGATTCTATTGTAGGTTTATCAAAGACTTCTCAAAAGTTGCACAACCTCTTTGTCGTCTCCTACAAAAAGAAGTGGCATTTGAATTCACCAAGGAGTGCATGGCTTCATTCAATCAACTCAAGGAGTTGTTGACCACGACACCAATCATAGCTCCACCTGATTGGAACCTCCCTTTTGAGTTAATGTGTGACGCATCAGATTATGCTCTAGGGGCTGTTTTAGGGCAAAGAAAAGACAAAAGGCCGCATGTCATCTACTATGCCTCACGGACGTTGAATGATGCACAACTAAATTATTCTACAACTGAAAAAGAACTCTTGGCTATTGTATTTGCATTAGATAAGTTTAGA